AAAAGCTTCTAGCGGCGCAAAGTAGACAAAAAGAATATGCAGATCGAAAGGTTAGAGACTTAGAGTTCATGGAAGGTGAACAAGTCTTGTTAAAGGTTTCGCCAATGAAAGGGGTGATGCGATTTGGTAAGCGAGGTAAACTTAGCCCAAGGTATATTGGTCCATTTGAAGTACTTAAGCGAGTAGGGGAGGTGGCTTATGAGTTAGCCTTGCCTCCAGGGCTGTCCGGAGTGCATCCGGTATTCCATGTGTCTATGTTGAAAAGATATCATGGGGATGGAAATTACATTATCCGTTGGGATTCAGTTTTACTTGATGAGAACTTGTCTTATGAGGAGGAGTCTGTTGCTATTTTAGATAGAGAAGTTCGCAAGTTGAGGTCAAGAGAGATTGCATCCATCAAGGTGCAATGGAAGAATCGACCGGTTGAAGAAGCCACTTGGGAGAAGGAGGCAGATATGCAAGAAAGATACCCACATCTGTTTACAGATTCAGGTACTCCTTTTCGCTCTTGTTTTTCCTTCTTGTGATCGTTCGGGGACGAACGATGGGTAAATTGGTATCTATTGTAACGGCCTGTTTAGTCGTTTTGAGTAGCAGACTTCAATTCTGAAAAAACTGGCAGAAGCGACAGACCTCACGACGGACCGTCATGGGCACGACGGACCGTCGCAGGGTCTCGTTTCAACACTTAAAAAATCTGAAATTGGGTACTGAAAATCGACTCTCTGAACTTCGTAATGGAATGGCAGGACGGACCGTCACAGGCTTGACGGACCATCACAGATTATTCAGTGGAAATTGAGTCTCTGACCCTTGCGACGACCTGCAGGACGGACCGTCGCAGGCACGACGGGCCGTCGCAGGTTGCGCAATCCCAGTCTGGGTCAGATTTCTTGATACGTTTTAAGGGACATTTTTTACTATTCTTGCCTTAATTATAAAGTTAGTGAGTTAATGTTAATAAGTCTAATTACTTGGGGGTTAAAAGAGGTAACCTTAAGTTAATTAGTGGGGCATTATTGCCATCTTTTATTCTTAATTATATACTAATTAGGGTAAAAGAAAGAGGGTTGGAATAAGAAAAATAAGAAAGGACAAAGAGAGACAGAAAAAGAAAGAGAACGAGTAGAGAGAGAGAGAAACGAAGGGAATAGCAAGGATTTTGAGAAGATAGCTTGTTGATCGCAATTCTTTGGTGGAGGTAGGTTATGGTTTTCATGCTTTCATAAGTAAACTCTTAATAGTGAATGATATGTATTAATGAAACTTTAATATACATTATTAATGATGAGGCCTTGGTATAGAAGAAGGCTTGATGAATTAAAGTAATGGGATTGATGATGCCTTGGTATAGAGAAGGCTTGATGATTTACAGAATGATATTAGTGGATCGGAGTGTCACGTTCCGACACATAGTATTAGTGGATAGGAGTGTCACGTTCCGACACATAGTATTAGTGGATCGGAGTGTCACGTTCTGACACATAGTATTAGTGGATCGGAGTGTCATGTTCCGACACATAGTATTAGTGGATCGGAGTGTCACGTTTCGACACGTAGAATTAGGGGGTCGGAGTGTCACGTACCGACACATATAGGGGATCGGAGTGTCACGTACCGACACATATAGGGGATCGGGTGTTACGAAACGATATGTAGAATTAGGGGATCGGAGTGTCACGTACCGACACATAGCAGTAGGGGATCAGAGTGTCACGTACCGACACAAGAGGAAGAAAGATAATGAATCTTGAAAGATGATAATATACTCAACTTAATAAACTTAATTCCCAAATGAGTATGGTGTTGAGGCTTGAGCCCTCATGGATGAACTTGATGGTACTTATTGATGATTATAGTACTTGTTGTTGCTACATGTTGAGTTTTATAGTTGATTTACGATAATATTTGATATATACTGTTCCCTATTTTGAGTTGGCCGATGATATCTACTCAGTACCCGTGTTTTGTACTGACCCCTACTTTTATGTTTTTCTTCTTGTTATTTGTGGAGTGCAGCAAACGTGCCGTCATCTTCGACTCAACAGTAACTCAAGCCAGTTTTCGTCACATCGGAAATCCAGGGTGAGCTAATGCTTCTAGCTTGGACTGGATCTTCTTCTCCAAGTCTTGATGCCTTAAACCTCCGGCATGGACTAGCTTCTTATGTATTTTTAGCTTTTAGAATACTCGTAGTTTAGTCATTTGATCGTAGATGTTCTTGTGATGATGACTTCCAGATTTTGGGGATAATAATAGTTATTGATTTTATTAATGAGTTTAAGTCTTCCGCATTACTTTTGTTGATATTATATTGAAATGTTAAGGTTTAGATTTGGTTGGCTCGCTCACATAGGAGGGTAAGTGTGGGTGCCAGTCGCGGCCCGGATTTGGGTCGTGACAGACAATTGTTGACACCCAATTTTTAACCTCCACAATATAAATTAATAATCAAGCTTTCATCAATTTTGAATTATTTGGAATAACAGTTTTATTAAAAAATTAAAAAGTATTTTAAAGTTATTTTTCATTAATTTTTTTCATTTTTATAATTTGTAAGTAATGTATATGTTTTATATAATTTTGTATATAATTAGTATAGTTTATAAATTTTGGAAAACCGTCTCAAAAGTGTTTTGTTAAATATTTGATTAATTAGTTTAGCTATATAATAGTTATATTTTGAATTATTTAGTTTATAATTAATTTAAATATTTTTATTTCTTTCACATTAAAAAAATCATTAATCAATTTATATTGATTCGTCTATTTTAGTTTTTAGCCGAGTCACCAAATAAACCCAATTTGGCTAAATTTTTAACTCTAAAGGGCTACAATTGAAATTTATATGGCCATTTTCTTGATATAAATTCTAACCACTTCCTTCCATTCCTTAAACATGATTTTAAGAGACCAAGTTTTGGTCTTATTCCTTTCGAGCAACCCATCCTTCTTAATTCCAATCAGCCCATTTCCCCAACTCTTATTCGCAATCTTAGCACACAATTCCAATTTATAACACCCAACAAAAATACAACAACTTACAATAGAAACAAACTAGACAACACCAGCGCGTCTTCTTCCCCAGACGTGAATAGAAACCCAGAAACAAAAATGAGCTAGACGCGGCAGAAAAAATTGCGAGAAATCGCATCCACCAGCGTAAGAGTCCCTCTCCTCCATTCTTACCCATTAAGATAATTTTCCATGTGTCTCCATTTCGCGCTTCAATCGTCCTTCTGAAAAAATCAATGGTCCTCCTCGCGAATATGTCGAGAATGGTACGAATTTCAACTATTGGAACTTTATATTCTTAGGAAAAATTTGAACTTTGAATTCAAGTTGGCCCCCAATCCCTCTCGTTTTCCCATCACCGAACCCTAGCTTTGCTCTGTATAAACTCTTTTCTTTCACAGTATTAGAGGTTGAGGGAAAAAAGAAATGCAAAGGATATAGAAAAAAGATATTCATAGCAAATACCAATTTTAAACTCGTCAAATATACTCAACAGAGGTTCTCTTTTCTTTGTTTGTCGTTTGCTGAAGCTCGTTGGAGTTATCAGAGACTTAAAGTGTGGTGGAATAGTTTGCCTCCTGATCGCTTTGGTCTCAGCCCACTGCTCCAAACAAGGTAACACTTCTTCCTAATGCTCTTTGCTAAAAAAGATTTTGTTAAATATTTGGTTGATTACCTTAGTTATATAATGTTGTATTTTAAATTATTTAGTCTATAATTAAGTTAATTATTTTATTTTGTTCATATTAAGAAGTTCATTAATTAATTTATATTAATTCATCTTATTTAGTTTTTCGCCGAGTCATCAAATAAGCCCAATTTGGGTAAGTCGTTAACTCTAAATGGATACTATTAAAATTCATATTGTTATTGCTTAATAGCGATTCTAACGATTTACTTCCATTCCTTGAACTTAATTTTGAGAGACCAAGTTTTGGGCCTTATTCCTTTCCAACAGCCCATCCTTCATAATTCCAATCAACCCATTCCCCAACTCTTATTCCTAATTCCAACGAACAATTCTAATCCAAAATACTCAGCAACAATACAACAACATGCAACAACAACACACCAGACGACCCCATCACGTCATCTTCCCCGAGACGCGATGAGAAACCTTGAAACAATAATCACCCAAACACGACTGAACACAATTGCGAGAAATTGTGTCCACCAACCTGCACATTCCTCTCCTCCATTCTAATCCATGTATATGAGAATTTTCTAGATTTCTCCATCTCCGCACCTCAATCGTCCATGTGAAGAAATCAATGGTCCTGCTCTCAAATCCATTATGAATAGTACAAATTCAAGGTGTTGGAGACTTATTTCTAAGGAAGAATTCAAATTTTGAATTCAAGTTGGCCCCCAATCCCTCTTATTTTCCCCTTCACCGAAACTTAACTTCCTTTTGCATAAACTCTCTTCTTTCACAGTAGTAGGGGTAGGGGAAAAAATAAACAAAAAGGATCAATAAAATAGATATTCATAGCAACTACTAATTTTAAACCTCCATATTACCCAACAAAGATTCTATTTTCTTTGTTCGTCGTTTGCCGAAGCTCATTTGAGTTTTCAGTCTTGAAGTTTGGTGGAATAGTTTGCCTCCTGCTCGCTTTGGTCTTAGTTTGTTTCTCCAAACAAGGTAATACTTCTCCCTAACGCTTGTTGCTCAAAATGATTTTGTTATATAATTAGGTAATTAGTTTAGTTATATAATAGTTATATTTTTAATTACTTATTTTATAATTAAGTTAATTATTTTTATTTCGTTCATGTTAAGAAGATCATTAATTAATTCATATGAGTGCGTCTTATCTATTTTTTAGTCGAGTCATAAATAAACCCAATTTGACTAAATTTTTAACTCTAAATGCCTACAATTGAAATTCATATGGTCATTTTCTTAATACTAATTCTAATTACTTCTTTACATGACTTCAACTCAATTTTGAGAGACCAAGTTTTAGGCCTTATTCCTTTCCAGTAGTCCATCCTTCTTTATTCAAATCAGCCCATTTCCTCAACGCTTATTCCCAAATCTAGCCCACAATTTCAATCCAAAACACCCAGCAACAAGACAACAGCGTGCAACATCAACTCACCAGACGACCACAATGCATCTTCTTCCCCATACGTAACAAAAAACCTAGAAAAAAAATCACTTAGATGCAATTGAACGAAATCACGAGAAATTTTGTCAAACAGCCTGAGCGTCCCTCTCCTCCGTTCTTATCCATTTGTACAAGAATTTCCAGGTGTCTTCATCTTCGCGTCTCAATCGTCCTTGTGAATAAATTGACGGTCCTCCTCTCAAATCTGTTCAGAATGGTACGAGTTTCAGCTGTTGGAACCTTATCTTCTAAGGAAAATTTTAAATTTCGAATTAAATTATTCCAATCCCTCTCATTTCCCCCCTTCACAGAACTCTAGCTTCCCTCTGTATAAACTCTCTCTTTCACGGTATCAGGGGTTGGGGAAAAAACGTAAAGGATTTTAAAAAGAGATATTTTTATTTAAAATAGCCATGTATACTTAACATAGGTTTTCTTTCTTTGTTCCGCACTCCAAAGGTCGTTGAAGTTGTCGATTCATGATGTGTGGTTGAATAGTTTTCCTCCAGCTCGTTGTGATCTCAGTTCGCTGCTCCAAATAAGGTAACACTTCTTCGTAACACTCGCACTTCATTTTTCGTTCTTTCTTTTCAAATCATTTGTGTAGCTTTGTCATTATTCGAAATATCTTGAGGTCTTATTACAGTTTGAATGTTGCAATATGTAGTTTTTTCTGTTTTTTTGGGTGATTTTGTAGGCTTAGAAATGATATTAGACTTCGATATTTTCATGAGTATGTTGCTAAACTAGTGTGCTTCGCTTGTGCTTTGCTCTGTCTTTGAGTATGATCTCTCCTAATTTGTTGTTGTTGATGTTGTTTTACTTGTAAAGACAAAATTTCAACTAATTTATCTACTGCCTAGCATGATTCGTGTTGATAAGATCTATGTCATTTTCTGCCTAATTGCTTTTTTAATGTGGTAGAATTTAAGTTTTGTTCTTAAGATTACTTGAAGCATGAAAATATTGGCATTAATCTTTCATGTGTATGACGTGTTGACTTCTTTTACTATAAAGTCATTAACAGTGGTTTAGTTATGCATTGTATGGCTCATGCACTGATCTATTTAAATGAGAAAGTGAACATATGTCTTAATGAATTTCAATTAATGTGTTAATGAGATTTTTACAGAACATGTGGGTTGATGGAATCATTTTAGGCCTCATTAAAATTGTCTTCATTTTTGCTTGGCATCTGTCGTTTGTTTTGCTTTAACTATCTAATCTTCTTATTCATTTTTCTTTAGCTTAAGGTGTTAAGTGGTAATTCCCTTGATAGATTTATTATTTTGGGATTGGTTAAGTGCTAGTTTGGAGATATCATTATTTGGTTCTAATTTTTTTCTAGTTTTTGTTGCATGTGAAATCTGTCCGAGTTCGCCATACTCCTCTCCTTGCATTTTCTTGTTGTTTGGCTCAATGCTTCCGTTATCTAGTAGGCTTTCATCATTGATTGTTTGAGTTTCAAAAGCTAAAATAGCAAGATGAAATCTAGAATATAGGTCTCAACAGCTTAAAAATAGATTGTATACATTCATATACATATAATATACAGGAACGAGGGCTGATATACAACAGTATACAAATGTATACAGAAACTGTATTCAATGTTGGGAAACTGAGAAATGGGTTTCAATCCCATGATTTTTGTTACCATCAGGTCCAAGCAACTTTTTTTAAAAAAAATATGGGTTGATACCCATTTGTTACTAGCAAACTTTAATTTAAAAGATAGAGAAGAGACCAAGATCCGTTGATGGCCCAATTTCGAATTCGGGCAAAAAGCCCAAGTTTGGGATTATTTATATTTATTTCTTTACTATTATTTATTATAGTGTGTATTGATTCTAACCCTTTTATTTGACTTGGTTTTTATTTAATTAAATTTCTAAAAGAAAGTCATGTTTCTTTCTTATGCTTGATTTAAAAGATGTTTATATTTTTATTTATTACTTAGATTTAGTTTTTTTTGCAACACATGAATCAGTCTTTCCTGAAAATTTTTCAGGTTTATTTCCTTGTAAAAAATAAAAAATGGATTTTATTTAATTAGTCAATATCTTTCAAGTTAGTCAAATCGTTGGTCATCCTCACGTTCGCGGACATTCCGAGGGACTAATACCTTCTCAGAATGTATATTGAGCTCGACCCCTTTTATTTTCAATTGATTTTTATTCCATTTAAGTCATTTGAAAAAAATTATAAATTTTCTTAATTTCCTATAAAAATTAAGTGGTGACTCTATTTTTGAAAATTGATTTCTCTTCAAGTCTTGAGGCTACTCAATTTTTCAAATCAAGTCCTTTTTAGCTTATTTTTTGAGTAAAACAGAAATGACGACTCCGCTAGGGATTTAATTAAGTTTTAACCATAAGAATTTGTTTGATTACTTGCTATTAATTGTTGAATTGTTTATATGCTTTACTTGTTAAGTTGCAATAATCTATTTCATTTATAGGATGACATACTCCGTCAAAAGACATTTATTTTATTTTTTTCACTTAAAGGGAGATTATGCGGGACACAGTCATTCGTTAACCAATTTTTTCTTGGGGCACCCTGAAAAATGTAGTTAGTCATTGGATGGTCACCGGTCGTTAACTGACTCAGCTTATGTTGTCCGCTTGGGTCACCTATATACTACAAATAAAACTCAATCCTAGCCCAATTAGTGTAGAGACAAAATCAATCCCAAACTTTTAACACATTGGCCTAAGTTAACCCAATACCTAAGGCATGTAGGGACCATTAGAGACCACCTTAAGTCCAAAATGGCCCATGACCTAAACGAACGCTCATACTTATGTGTTTAAATTCAAAAATTGTACACGTCGTTTGAGAGGTCTTGTCCCTTAGGTTGGGGAGCAGATTTTAATAGGGGAAACTTACCTAAATATACTATAAATAAAAAATATTTACCATTTATAGCAATAACATTTTTTTTTTCAGTTGATCACTTTTAGTACATTTATAATACAAATTTAATTCATATTAGAAAGAACAATTTATTATTCACATATAATACAAAGTTTTATTGATTGATTAATATATTTATCACACATTTTAATACACTTATAAAGCAATGTGTCTACTTCTTACCAAACAAACATAATATATTTTCTAAAACAGTTATAATACATATATATTGCATACTTAATTCACTTTTAATACATATTGTAGATTTAACGTAGTATTGTTATAAATGGTAATAAATAAAAATATCGCTAAAATTTATAATTATTTATTAAAAGACACTCATTCAAGTAATTTTTCCTTTTAATAGCATATTCCAGTCAAAGAAGGAGTTTCACAAGATACTATCTAAAAGGAGTGGACATCCAGAAATGAAGAGAAATAAAAAAAAAGAAAGAAAGGCCTTCCATGGAGGCATAAGTAAGGATGGTACCCCTGCGTGGGATGGATTATTTATATTTCGTTTTTCTTATTATGTATCCCCATTCAACTTTATTCATGAAGTTTGTATAAATTTGAGTTTTGGGGCAATGGAATATTTCAAATGACGTTATACATCCTTCAAATCGTTAGGCCTGCCTTTGGCACAAAAAGGTCATATATTTGTATAGAAAGAGCAATATTTGTTTATGTATTATAACTGCTTCAACGAGTACGTTCCTTTATTTGGAAACTTCCTAGCCTACTCTTTTTGGATTATATCTAGAAACCCCTAAGCACAAATATCAAGTCACTATGAAAGTGTGTCCAAATATTTTTCAAGTCTTTAGTTTCTCAACAAAATTTTATCTTCATTTTTTCATATCTTACTTTTGCATTTCAGAAAAAGGGCTAACCCATTATCTCAAATTGAAATGATATTCAAGAGTCGAACTACGCAGGACCTGGATTTTCTTTTCTGAGATACCTAGGAAACTTTCAAGGTTTGGTCCCCATTTTTGATAAATTTATCTTTTCTACCTTTTGCAAGGAGTCTAGAGTTTCATATCAATCGAAAATCAGAAGTCGAGATTCCTTATTTATTAATCCCAAAATTAAATAGACAAATTCCTATCTATTTAGCTATCTCTCGACACCTGTGGGATAGTTTTATCTTTGAATGAAGAAACTCTCGTGTGTTTGCACCTCTGTGTGATATCTTGTATTATTTGTCACATATAAACACAAAAACAATTACCTTTTGAGTTATTTTTCTTTGACATGCTCTTAGAATTTATTTGTGTTGGTAAGATGATTGAACAACTGTTCTTTATGAGATCCAAATTTCCTATAAATTCTCTCTGTAGTCGAGATCTATTGAAAAGGAAGCGATAAAGGTTGATAACACTGAAGCTATTTTCTTAATAGCAATTGTAACTACATCCTTCCATGCCTTCAACTTAAATTTGAGTGACCAAGTTTTGGACCTATTCCTTTCCAGCAGCCTATCCTTCTTAATTCCAAATAGTCCATTTCCCAAACTCTTATTCCTAATTCCAGCCATAATTCCAATCCAAAAACCCCAGCAACAACACAAGAGCGTGCAACAACAACATACTAGACAACCCCAACGTGTCTTCTTCCCCAAACAAGACCAAAAAACTAGTATTAAAAATCACGTTGACGAGACTGAACAAAATCGTGAGAAATTGCGTCCAGCAGCCTTTTCGTCCCTTTCCTCCGTTCTTGTCCATTTGTATGTGAATTTTCTAAGTGTCCCCATATTCTTTTATTAATCGTCTTTACGAAGAAATCGAATGTCCTTCTCTCAAATCCTTTGAGAATGGTATGAGTTCCAACTATTGGAACCTTATCTTGTAAGAAAGAATTTGAATTTTGAATTCAAGTTGGCCCCCAATCCCTCTAGTTTTCCCCCCTTCACTGAACCCTAGCTTCCCTATGTATAAACTCTCTTCTTTCAGTATGAGGGGTTGGGGGAAAAAGAAATGAAAAGGATCTAGAAAAGAGATATTCATAGCAAATACTAATTTTGAAATAGTCATATATACTCAAATAGGTTCTCTTTTCTTTCTTAATCATTTGCCGAAGCTCGTTGGAGTTCTCGGAGGCTTGAAGTGTGGTGAAATAGTATGCCTCCTACTCGCTTTGGCTTCAGTTCGCTGCTCCAAACAAGGTAACATTTTTCCCTAACGCTCGCAGCTCAAAAATGTTTTGTCAAATATTTGGTTAATAGTGTAGTTATATAATAGTTATATTTTAAATTATTTAGTTTATAATTAAGTTAATTATTTTTATTTCATTCACATTAAGAAGCTTATTAATTAATTTATATTAATTCATCTTATTTAGTTTTTAGCCGAGTTACCAAATAAACCTAATTTGAGTACATTTGTTGAGTTTGAACTTACATTTGAAGCAAGTATTATGAACTTGAGAATCTTTGATGATGGTGAATCATAACTTAAATATTTGAGTGCACAGTTGATCCTTCCATAAGTAAGTTAAGTCTTGTTATGTGCATTCATGATTGGGTCTTTTGTAGCACTATTTGATATATTCTTTTTGAACTTTTGAACTTGGGTTTTACTTCACGAGAAACGAAAGTTTAAGTTGGGCATGCTGATGAGTCTGAGATCTGAACTCATTTAGGGCTTTAGTTAAATATGTGTAGTGTCCTCAAATGCTTATGTTGTGCCAATAACTGATATAAAACCCTTAATTTCAAGGTATATAGATTGAGGAACACAGCAAAGCCATTAATTTGCAAAAAGGAACAAAGTTATTTGAAAGAATAGAGAAATGCAAGACTTGATATTGCCAAGTCCACTTAGCGAGTTGCTGAATGGCCATTTGACCACTTAAGGTTCTAATGTTACAAGACCTGAGGAAATAAATTAAGTTGACGATGGAAAGAAGTAGATGGTGAATCACCGAGTAGTACCGCGATGTAGTGTTGGATCGCCCAAAGTTACAGAACTTGAGGTTATAGAATGCCAAAGCATAAAAGCGTTGAAAATGACCAAATGGAGGCTCGCCAAGTGGTTCCGCGAGCTCGACTTTCTTCGCCAAGTGTCTTTTTGAAACATATAAATACATTTTTGAACATTTAGTTTAGTATCTAATACCATAATATCTTATTATATTAGTTAGTTTTTTGCTCCGGAGACAAGTTTTATCTAGCTTTTTATAAGCTTTGGAGAATTAAAGTATTTCACTTTTGAGAAATTGGAAGTGGGTCTTTGAGATTCTTCAACTTGTAATATTTTAAAGACGAAATCAATCTTACCAATTGATTGAAACTCAATTTGGAAACAATATTTATCTTTTCATGATGTCTAGCTAAAACCCCAATGCTTGGGGAGTGATTATGGTCTGATTTAGTTTATGGGTGTAGCTAATTTTTAGTTTAAATTCTATTTATAAGTGAGTTCAATCATTAGTTATGGTTTATTTTAAGAATTTAGTTGTAAATGCAATTGTACCATTGTGTTTTTGGCTTGCTAGAGAGAGAGATTTTAAAACTAAACTTATTGATTAATGGTTAGTAGGTATTGGATTGATATGAGTTCAACTTCATTCAGGATAAATTGTTCAAGAGAAAGTTTATCTCCTCTGTATTCTAGGTTACTGACTAATATCTAGCTATTTTCTGATAGTTGCAATTAACTATTTAGTTTATAATAAAATCACATCCCAAGAACTCGTCTCATTATTGTTATTTTTTATTATTTACCACTATTTGTAGTTGGTTATTTTTAAACAAAAACCTCCATTTAACATTCGTTTCACCCCCTGATTTGCATAATGTCTTTATTTCTATTTATACTGTGGATAGTCTATTTTTTAGAGCGAGCGCGAATTGGATGATTCAACAAACAATTCATCAGTTGTTGAATCATGCCATTTTGCCGCTCCCTATGGGATTCGACCCCAACTCATTTAGTTGGATTATATAATGATTAACGACCGTTGAAACTTAGAATTGGATGAAGTGTCTTTGATAATGTTAACTACTAATCAATATGCTCATGTATAAACTATCTTATGGTTACATTATATAGCATTGGGTATCGCTCATATGTAGGATTTAGGCTCATGACATGACAAATTTGGTATCAGAAAACTATGTTTTTAAGTGTCTTAAGATGTCTATGAAGTCTTACCTAGTATCGTCCTTCTTCTAGGTGTGAAGTATACCACATCTATAATATGGCGGTTATAGGACATTATGAAATTATATCATTCTTTCATATTGTAGTTCGTATGATAGAGTTTAACTCTACGAAGTCTCTTTTAACTTGTGCGTTCACATATTTCAGATCATGCCTCCAAAGTGTTCTGCTAGTAAGAGAAATACTACAAGTGTTAGCGATCCTGTTGGAACTAATGCAAGAAGTCTACCTTTATAGAAGTACATATATCGGGAACAAAACTTGCTCGATAGATTAAGGCACAAGTGTCGAGGCTCAAGTTGTGCTTGCTAACTAATGAGTCGAGGATTTTGGATTTATTTTGAGTTTCTAGTTAACCAAAGTAATTTTATAGATGCCCATTTATATCATTCCCTTATCAAAATGTGCTTGTATTTCAGCTATGAGAGAATAAGGATGATATGGAGATGACAGATATCAAAATAAGACAGATTTTGAAAAATAGGCAAAGGGTAATGCTGAGGATTGCCTAAGTTAATTCACCACATCACTGAGTGGAACAAACCATGGATCGTTGATAGAAAAAGGTTAGGTGAGGTTTTATGTTGAATAGGAGGGAGAAAAATGTGAGAGAGAAAATATAATGTCAATGCTTCAAAGAAGGTAGAGTCACTATAATCCAAAATTTTCCTACCATGCCCATCAACCCCATCAAAAACGTTGAAATACTTTTATGATTCCAATGGATCTATCTCATTCATCATTAGGGATGTGTTCAAGCATATGATTAGAAGTATGCATGTTATTCTTTTTGCGAGCGTGAGATTTTTAGTGATTCCTAAATTGATAAATGCTAATGGTTTGTGAGAGAATGAGATCATTCATTGTGTGAGGGCATTTAAATATTTTTGTTGAGCATAATTTTGCATCTTAGTAAGCTAGTGTGAGCATTTATTTTGATTGATAAAGGCTATTCATTACTTGAGGCTTTTTGTAACACCTCGAAATCAAGTATATTTTGTTAGGGGTTAAGTTCTAAGTCAAGGCCTAGAAGAATTTACATTGGCATCCTCCACAAGTTCCCACACGGACCGTGAAGCATCCTACGGCTCGTGGGAAGGGACGTGGAGCTTAAGAAGTAGCTATCCAAGGGAATCTCACCTCCCACGAGATCCAAGATGGATTTTGGTGGTCACCACAGATCATGGTGCCACTCGTGGAGGTGATACAATAAGCCTCCAAGTCTGCCCACAAGCCCATTGATTGCTCGTGAATGCCACGACGTTTGTGGGAGGTGTCGTGGTTTTCACATAGTTTTTAGGGGTGAAAGGGATGTATTCCAAGCTACTGATCGAAGACCATTATGGGGACCACAACTTGCGGTAGGGACCACAACTATGGAGATGGGCAGTGCACTATAAGTTGGAGCTAGGATCAAGGTCAAGTCTCCATAACTGAATCATTTATGGGATTATAATTAAGGTATGTTGTCTTTTCATCCATGGAAGCGTTTCTTCCATGGAGTCCCTAAGTTTTGCCCAATTGAGAAGATGAATTTCCTCAA